CCCCCTTTCCTGGGGCAACCCGTCACCGCGCCGCAAGCCAAATAGCTTAAGTAGCGTAACGCCTCCCGGCACCGCCTTGACACGCCCAGCGGCTACTTGTTGTTGTTGTTGTTGTTGTCGAAGCTGTCAGCGCCGTGCACTCCGCTCTTAATTGCGCAGAGCATTACGGTTTATCTGAAGAATCGTTCGGTTGCCACCGCTGTCGGCCCCACTTGTGCGGCCAATGTTTTGGGAATCGAAATGCGAATTCATTTAAATGATAATCATTCCAATGCCCCAACTGCCATTACTTGCAGTCCTCGCCTTCGCCTTCGCCTTTGCCTTCGCCTGCCCCGTCACATTCTTTGCGGTCACACTCGCAGTGTTTGCATATGACAGTCGGCAGTCAGCAGCCAGTATTAGCCCTAGCCCTAGACCAAAATCCCCACCCCAACCCCCCTTAGGACCGACAGAGAGCTGCCAGCAAACAGTGAGCATTGCCTGCATGGGCAAGAGGGGGCGCGATACAGAGAAGGGTTGATAAGTTAGGGATCCAGGAGTTTTGTATTATCGAGATTATTATGAAAATTTATGAATACAAGTATATCACCATTCACGACTATTTTTTTTATATATTTACAAGTATTACTCTATTTTTAGTTTTAGAAGAAGCTTTCAATTGGGGTTTTGAAACCAAATAGTTGTTTTCCTACTTTTCACCAAAATATTCCTAGCGATGTGTATTCAAACGTTATTGTTCTTAACTTTAACTTTTAATGTAAATTTTAAATTCATTTTTAAATTCACTTTTAACTCAGCTTTTAACTTAACTTCGAAAATAATTTTATTTTTATCTGTGGAATGGATTTTTTTGATATTAGTTACCGTTTCTATTAATCACAAATTTAAATTCATTTAAAGTTTGTATTTTTCTTCTCTTTTTTAAGCATTATAGATTTATGTTTTAATTATCGTTTGAATTAACATTAAGTTTACTGAAGTTTCTTGAAGAGTGCTTTTGAACTACGGGTTATCGGAACTACTACGGTGTTTGCAATCTAACATAACTATCGATAGTTGGGGGTCGCTATCGCTGGCTAAAGAAACTATTTATGAGTAGAAAATATGCTTAGCAACGTTTCTGATTGACGTTATTGAGGTATCTGAGGGATATTTGAAAATGCAAATGACAACTTAAAGCTTTTCATTAAATTGTTATCGATATTTTAACTTATTCTCTAGCTGTAGCCTAACAAGTCCTTCCTCACATCATTTCTGTTCGCCTTTTGTGGACCGCCCCAACCACAGGTATGTGGCCAGCCTTCTATAGTTGATTAAGACTGTAGAGACATGCGAGTGTGCGGGCATGTGAGCAGAGACGACTGTTTACAGTGGGCTGGGTTTTAATTTATGAGCAAATTTTGCGTATCTAATGCCGAGCTGCCCGCCTGCCAACCAGTCAGTCTGTCTGTCCGTCTGTCTGTCTGTCGTCCGTTTTGTGCACAATTAAATTTTAAATGTAATTTCATGCCCCAGTGCGTCAAATTGCAAGCGCCGCCCGTTGCAAGACCATGTGTGTGCATGTGTGAGTGTGTGAGTGTATGTGTGTGTGTGTGTGTGTGTGTGTGTGTGTGTGTGTGTGTGTGTGTTTGTGTGTGTGTGTGTTCGGCGACATAATCGCTTTGACACTACAAACGAACGCGCTTGGATCAGTGAGGGGGGCATGAGCGATAAGCGTTGCATTCCAACAAAAAGCTGCTCCCCCTCTGTTGGATTTCTGCGGAAAAGGGAAGAGCGATGCAGAGGCGGGGGGTTAATTGAAGTGCACATTTTTACGGCCGTATTTTGGCAATCGAACCGTCCAATCAACAAGATCCCGCAATTGGTCTTAGTTGCCTTCACTGGCGGCTTATCAATTTTCGCGTCACCTCGCGCAAACGTTGTTGCTTGCGTTGTCGGCGCCGGACGGGCTTATCAATATCTGAGGCATTCGCATTCGTAGCCGTAATGTACACAAATAGCAATGTCGTTTCCCCGAACCTGAGCCCCCCTCCGCACCCGTACCCCCTTAACCCACCCTTAGCCATTCACCTACCCGCACCCCAAGCGAGTGCTTTCGTTTCAATTAGAAGGCCGCTAATCAATATCTGCTGATCTGTGAATGGCGATACCCGAGTGTTAAACATTATTCAAAACTTGAACTTGACTTCTACTTTTTGGCGAATCGCAAGCGATCATTAAAAGCAATACGAATTCTTTAGTAAATTATAATTAATAGACAGAGCTCTGGACAGGACTGTAACTCATTGGTTTTATAAACAACCTCTCTATGTTATACTTGTATATTCTTATGTTTCTAATCGGACTGTTGGACTTTGGCCATAACATTTGATTTTTTGTATATATAAAAGACTACTTACAGAATTTTTTTTAATGCCGCAAGTGGGCGCCCCCAGTGAGTTAGCAGGAAACCCACAACGGGAGCTTGTTTCTGAGTAGGCACTCGGTTCGAATCCCATCATGACAGAAGCATGATTGAATCAATTTCAAGGTTATCATAAAATTTAATAATTGTCCTACCTAGGGAAGATCTTAAGTAAAGATTAAAGGCAAAAAAAGAAGCTGCACGTAATTTATTTTAACTGATCCAAAGAACTTATTCTGATTTATGTTATTGCCACGAACGAAATTTCTTTTAAATAATTCTCTTAAAAATTGTCATATTGCGGCGAACTAAGTATAGCCAATCAATTAAATAAATTATAAATGATTTGTAGTTAACAACTTAACGCCTAAAGTGGTCTTATCTGCTCAAAAGCAATCATTAAAGACCGTAGAAATGAGCTCGTTTAACTGATTTCATGCTGATTTACTTAAACACTGGTTGCTTTCTCAAATTTCCAAGCCTAGTTGAATTTCTAAAAAAAAATAAAAGTTATTTGTGCAAACCCCAGTAATTTCAGTTCTAAAGTTGGCAAATTCCCAAAGCAGTAAGCCTGTTTTGGATCTAGAATAAGGTTTCTTCAATTATCTTACTTCTAAGTTAACGTTTTTAACAAACTAAATAAAAGTCGACCAGCCATGAATATATTTGAAAATGTGAAATAAATATGGAGAGCCATAGAAAGTTTACCTATTTTCAATCAATTCACTGAAAATATTCTTAAAAGTCTCTCAGACATATAGTTTTCTTGTCAGCATACACCAGTTTTCAACTAGGTTTATAGTCACATAGAAATTTTGGAGTGTTGGAATCAGATAGATTCTAAAGTTTATTCAAATTGTAAACCTATTAAAACTTAGATGGCACCAATATTTGTCGATGCTCTCAATAACAAGTTTTTCTAATTTTCAACTAAAAATGTCCTTACAGTTCGCTCAGACATATAGTCAGTCAGCATACACATAGAAATTGGGGAGTGTTGGAATCAGTTATATGCCTTAAGTTCTTTCAATTTGTATTAACAGTTATATAGAACCAATATTTCCCGTTCACTACCTATTAATTCATACTACCTCTTATTAATTAAGTTGCCTTCAAAGTTAATAATAAAACATTTGGAAACTGAAAAAGTTGAAAAACAAACAAACAAAAAAATCCTTATTTTTTTGAGTGTAGACATAATTTATTTTCCGCCATGCTCGAATGGTTATTGAATACTGAATAGGGGTGTGGTTATCCATTTGTTTTGTTTTGTTTTTTTTTTTTTTTTTTTTTTGTTTACAGACAAAACTCATTATTTAATTTACATTGATGGCTGCTTTTTAATAAATAATTGTAAACCTTTTTTCGCAAACATGATTATTTGTGACAGTGATAGTTTGGTCATTAGGCATTGATGTGTGGACTGAAGTAAATTTAATAATGTTTTCCCCTACCATTTAGCCTTGGAGGAGCAAGGGTATTATTTTGCATTTTTGGCATATCGAAAAATATGAATAAATAGCAAGCAAATAGCACACATTAATTTGCGAATAGTTACATATCGCTTTCCAGCACTGGTCTGCAGCTGTTGCATCGCTTCTTGTGCTACTTGTAGCCGTATCCGTATCCGTAGCGTGCCGCTATAAATAACGCGTTCCGTGATAAACTTTGATAGAAACAAAGGGCGCATTGTGTGCTGCCACGCCCCTTAGACCATAAACCAGCCACCTACCCACTCCACAAGGACACCCCTTCATCCAACGAGGACAGCAATACCGAATACCCACACCCACACCCACATCTACACCCATACCCATCTGCAGGCTGGTTGGTGTGCTGTGAAGTGTGCGCGTTGTAATGTGCGTTAATAAATTTGATTTCGGGCTCTCGAACCATCAACTTTAAAGTGTCGCCTCGCGTTTTTATCAGTTTAATGGGCGGGCGGTAATGCAATTTGTACGACACCAACAGTCACCACCAAACCACCACACCACCCACTCCGCCCACTTACACTGAGAGAGATACACACTCAGAGACACAGCTATGATGAGCGGGGCTGCTGTTGTGTAAAGCAATTTTGATAAATTTATGTGAAATACGCTTTCATGATAAGCTAATTAAATTCAATCGCTGTAACCAACTTCCAACTTCCAAAAACCGAAAGCGCAACCCGCTGGCCCCACCACCACATATCACCCATCAACCACACCCCCGACCCACTAGACAAGCCCGAGTCTGAACCCAATCCCAGCTCCAGCAGCAGCTCCAGGTCCGTGCCAGTTCCAATTCCCTGAGCGTTTGGTGCGTGAGGCTCTGCGATTGTTTCCATATCGCTGAATAAACTAGAAAAATGTTCGCAAAGGACCGCGGAGCTCAGGCTGCACAGTGTGGCAATTTATTGTAACTATGCAGTCACACAAGGAGTGGAAAAATCGCGACACAAGAATGAAAGGAGTGAAGAAATGTCAATAAAAACAGAACAAACAATTCACCAATTTTATTTGTTGTTTTATTTGATCAGCTTTTGACTCAAAGCAATGCTAAACCTTTTGTTTATAACGTTAGTTTAATTAGCAAAGAAAAACATACCTGAGGCATTCTAACTGCGCATCTTGTTTCAAGTTCAAAACAACATACTCGTGAGCAGCGATGCGAAATTTTGGAATTTTCGTCTATAGCAACAAATTTATATATATATGTTAATGTATTAATTATACTATACAAAGTATACGCACCACTGATTAGCGGGAAAGCCCATAAAGCGAACTGCTGCGATTAAAGAGCTCGTTAATATGTCTGCAATAATAGAATAGAGTAGTTTAGAATAGACTAGAATGGAATACAAAATAATGGAATAGAATAGAATATAATGGAATAGAATAGAATGGAATGGAATAGAATTGAATGGAATAGAATGGAATTTAACAGAATATAATAAAATGGAATAGAATGGAATGGAAAAGAATAGAATGGAATATAACAGAATAGAATAAAATGGAATATAATGGAATATAATAGAATAGAATGGAATAGAATTGAATGGAATAGAATGGAATATAACAGAATAGAATAAAATAGAATATAATGTAATATAATAGAATGGAATATAATGGAATAGAATGGAATGAAATAGAAAGAATGGAATGAAATAGAAAGAATGGAATAGAAATTTGAGAATGTCATCTGGATTGGCAATGGAATGGAAAAGAATAGAATGGAATATAACAGAATAGAATAAAATGGAATACAATGGAATAGAATAGAATAGAATAGAATAGAATGGAATATAACAGAATAGAATAAAATGGAATATAATGGAATAGAATGGAATGGAATAGAATGGAATATAACAGAATAGAATAAAATAGAATAGAATGTAATATAATAGAATGGAATATAATGGAATAGAATGGAATGAAATAGAAAGAATGGAATAGAGATTTGAGAATGTCATCTGGATTGGCAATAAAGATATGATATTTTGCGTATTTTCTATACTGTATTGTTAAAATATGGTCGGGTTTTGTAATGACTCCGACCTTGCTCTCTGGTACAATCATCAAAAACATCAACATTTGTAAGAAATAATCCGCGTTTCGAACATTTTCACCTTCTCATGAGTTTTACAATTCTAGCAAATTAACGATCACGCACGCCCTTGCACGCAATCACGCACACACACTCTTACACACATATATCAATATTTTATATGAAACATCAGACACAGTGCGCTGCTTTATCGAGACTATGGGCAAACATTTGTGAATGGAAGCTGAAGTTTTGTCCTGAGTGTGCTCGGGGCGTAGGCCCGTCTCTAGCTCGGGGTCTGGGTCTGCAACTGCAAGCGTGCTCCACACCTGAGCTGCCACCTTCGGAGGCTCAGTTGTGGGGCAAACACAGACACAGACACACACACACACAGACACGAGTAGAGTGCATCGATAGATATAGAGGAGTGTGGAATGTGGAAATTTGCGGAACATGCGCAATTAACATAATTAGGCCTGACATGCACACAACAATAACACATGAAGCAGACAAATGAATTATTGAATTTTAATCATTTTTAATGAAGGTCCAAACAAATTAAACAAAAACCAAAGAAACGAAAAAAATGCGAACAAACAACGAACATAAATTGATCAGAAGTGAAAAATACCACAACATATTTTTCGCATTATTTGAGCGGCTGTCCTGTTGCATATGTTTCGTCGTTCATGTGTTATGCTGATTTCCATTTTAATTACACACACACACACGCACACGCACACATGCACAGAGCCATTGAACAGCGACCAAACCAACAAACATGGCCGTTTTGACAGAACACAGAACACGGCGCCGCGCGCCTAAAAGCGGCAACAAAAAATGTTGTAAGTCAATTACTGTTTAAAACAAATTAGCGATACGAGTACTTGGCTGCCACAATGCGCCTTCAAAATATATGTACGTGTGCATTGAAAATAAATGTTAGCAATCCAATTATCGAATGAAAATAATGATGCAACCTAATCGAATATTCAACAATTGAATATAGAAAATAACGATATAATAAAAGTTTTACACTTTATATATGTATAAACAAAAAAAGGAAACTAAATAGAATATTCTTTAGTGCTTCCTTTACTCTGTTAAGGCAACTATATATTGGATTCATTTCTATTCCCCTATGTACGCTACACAGCATATTCCTCCATTTTTCGATCATTTCTAGTGCTTAGATTCCCAATTGTTCACTATTCAAGACTCTTCCACTCACTTATAAACCAGATTCGTAAAAAGCGAGCAGAAATTCTGCCGTGGGTACTTTTGAGCAGGCAGACAGAGGCCGTGAGCAGTTGTGAGCAGGCGAGTCTGAATGAGCGCTGCTCGTATTTTACGAACCCTGCATCTAACTGCACAGAGACAAGGTAAAGAAGAGAATGATGGAGAATAAACAGTATATTTATCAATTGGTGGCGAGCATTTCTACAGGAACTTCTTAGGTTGGAACACTGTCTTTTTTTAGGGTTCAACTTAAATTTAAATGTTCCTGCATTAAAGGCACTTGAAGGCATAAGACGCTTCGATTCCCCATGGGGTCCCATTCAGGGATCTCACGCGACTCTTCCAGTCACATCTAAGTGCACAAGCGCGCTTGCTTTCTATTTTTAGCGGGTTTTGTAGCTATTTAAAGTGGTGTTTTTAGGCCTTTTCTAGCGGATTTTCTACATATTTTTAGTGGGTTTCCAAGACATTTTGTGGAGGTTTTTTAGCTCCTTATGTTTCCAAGACATTTTGTGGAGGCCTTTTAGCTACTTATAATTGTTTTTCTAACCATTTTCTAGCGGATTTTCTATATATGTGTTTGGTGGGTTTCCAAGACATTTTGCGGAGGATTATTAGCTACTTATAATTGTTTTTCTAGCCATTTTCTAGCGGATTTTCTATATATTTTTAATGGATTTCTAAGACATTTTGCGGAGGATTTTTAGCTCCTTATAACTGTTTATCTAGCCGTTTTCTAGCGGGTTTTCTAGCTATTCATAGCAGTTTTTTAATCATTTCAGAACGCAACTAATCAACGAAGCTGAAGTACGGAAATTAATTAATGAAACGCTTTCTCATCAATTAACTAAACGAATAGATGTGAGGCTGAACGAAAGGTTTACAAGCTGTTTTATTTCTGCCAATTTAAGCTCAAATTGTTGGCACGCTGAATAGTTTTGCTCACAAAGCCTTTGCTAAACTATCAAAACATTACAATGTTATTTCGTTTACTAAACAGATGTGAAAACTTGGGTAAGAAAAATTTGTAGTTTCGGCCAAAAAACCTAAAACAAAAATTAAAGAGCAGCAACATTTTGCAATTAACCGAATGACAGTGAAACGCCTGAAATGTGACTTCAGTCCTGAGGTCACGACATGTCTCCGAATGAGGGACAGCAGACGTCCTGACTGCTGTCCCATTCACGATCGCATACCCTACGATGCCGGCTGCTTCCTCAAGGATATCAGCAGAGAAGTGAATGAGCTTTACAATCGCCACTACAGCAGGTTCGAAAACAGCGAACGCCTGATGGAGCTGGCATTGCCGGTTCATCGCAAGTGCCCGTACGTTCCCAGGTGTCCTTGTCGGTTCCAAAAGGACATTGAAATGGTGCAGTCCGACCCGCCAATGTACACTCGCACTGAACAGCTGGCCCTGCCGCTGGTCAGGTTTGTTGCTCATTTGTTTATTTCCTTTTGGTTTTGATTATCTTGAGCTATAACTGGAAATTGTTGCACAGACGACTGCACGTTCGCCGGAAGGAGGCACTAGTGAAGGGGGACAAGATCGCTGAGCGGGTTCTGAATCGCTGGCTTCGCTACAGCTACCTCTCCTTGTACAGTCGCTTGAGCAACAGACAGCCGATGATGCGGCCGTAAGTCTCTCAGACCAGATTCTCCATATAGCTCAACAATTCCCAAACTTTTTTTAGTCCGAAGCCCAAGAAACCAAGCAAGAAACAGAGGGTGCGCCATTACCAATATATTAGTACGCTGGCCAAGCCCAAACAGATTCCAGAACCTCCAAAGCCGGTAAGTTGGTCAAACAATCAAACAAGCTCTTTTGCAAGATCCTAAGATCCCCCCACCTGAATAGAAACGCACAAGTGGCGGCATGGATGCGCGTCGACTCAATGAGCTGGCGCGTCCAAGGACCCGTCTGCCAGAAACAAACCCGCCTTGGCAACTAACCAGAGGCATGAAATTCTTCAAACCTAGTGAGCGACTGAAGAGCATTGCCAAGCCACTCATTCGCGACAATGTGCACATCAAGGAGGAGCCGGAGAAGGTGGCGCGTGGCGCCCTCAAATATAAACCAAGTTCCCGTATTAAGGAAATATCGCTGCCAGTGAAGGTGTTCGATCGTGAGGCCAGAGCCGCCGAGATCGCTGACGATCCCTATGCTATATCGCCGCATGCGTTAAAGTACAGGGTATCGTCGCGCATCAAGGAGCTGGCCGAACCAAAGGAGTTCGCGAACACACATATACGTTCAAATCCTGGCGCCATTTCCCCAGCAGCGCTCAGGGCGAAGGCCTCGCCGCGCCTCATCGAACTGGCCAGGCCGAAAGGAGGCTAACAAGCCATAAATATGTCTGTCTGTCTAATGTTCTGTTTCTGTTAGCCATTTGGCTTTATTCTCCGTTTTGGTCTGTCTCCTATCTCTTTGGCTAATATATATGTGTATTAAGTGTTTAAGAAGCTCGTTTTTATGCCCTGTACTCAAAGGGTATACTAGTGTTGTGCGAATGTATGTAATACGCAGAAGGAGGCGTGGCAGACCCAGGAAAGTATATATATTATTGAGCAGTAAGACAGGACGACTCGATATAGCCATGTCCGTCTGTCCGTATGAACGCAAGGATCTCAGAAAGTATAAGAGCTAGAATAACCAAACTTGGTATCTAGATTCTCCCAAGATCGATAAAGTAAGAGTTTGTGTTTTTTTCGATGCTCCCCCGCAGTTCGTGTTTTTTCCATAACTCCCGTAATTTTTGGAATTTTATACTCAGATTTGGCAAATACCTCCAGTTAGTGATTATGGGTCCTTATGCCATACCGATAGGCTAATTATGGAGAAAGTTATAGCCGAAAATATACTCTCTGCCGAAGCTCTGCCCGCAGCTGTTGTTGTTGTTGCTGCCGCTTTCACTTGTTCCGCATATAAACGCGCATAGACACGATGATGCTCTTGAAACTGTACATAAGCATGTCTTCACTTTTGTATGTACATACATACATATATGTATTGAAAATTTTTTACATAATTTAATTTTGTATAAATATATTTATTTTAATTTCCTCTATTGTGGAGAGTCCAGGGTATTTTAGCGTAGCGGGTCAGTGATTCTCCAGCTTTTAATTTTTCTTTTAGCTTTTTATTATATTTTATCTTTTTTAGTTAAGTATTTGAACTTTTTATTTATTTAAATACATTTTACTTGTTTTGATTTTTTATTGCTATTTTTTTATCTGTCTTTTTATTTATTTTTTGGATGTCTAATAACGCGTCTGATTACTATGTGTTGTGAATGGGGGCATAGGTGGCCGGTTGGTAAATAAAATCCCCCCACCGACTGGGCTTCGTTATTAGATATTTTTGTTATTTCTTGTGTAGTTTTGTTCAGTTCATTGTGTTATTTATTATTTATTGTATTGATTTTTTTCACATCGACAGCATTGTTTGCTGATGAACTAAATGAAGAAATAATAATAAAGCAATTAGGTAATCGCTTCAAATACACTGCAAGAAAGAGTGAAAGAGGGCTCTGCTATCGCCAGTATTGAAGGCGTTTCGAAAAAATATTTCCAGCACTATGCAGGTTTTCTCTGCCGGATGGATGTCGTGAAGCCTTTGAGTTCCATTCACGACCAACGGGCTTACTCTTTTCATTCGCATTTCCTTTTGCGCGGCCAGAACTGCTCCTTAGACACTGATGAAAGGATTTGGCTGCACACACGCACACACACACACACACACACGCACGCACACACACACACGTTCACATGTGGTGTCAGATCTATTTTCAAAGCTATCTCAAAGGCGGCGCTGGCGCTGGCGACTGTGACGGTGACGGTGACGGGAAAAACGGCGTTGAAAATGCAAAACAATTTCAGGCGAATTAGCGTAATTGTCTCGCTGCCATCTTTGCCGCTCACTCGCCTCTCCCCCTCCGCTCCTGCTCTCTGCTTCTGAGCGAAGACAATGAAATGACGGCAGCCAAGAAGCAGACACTGACAATGCCTGGTGGAGGGGGGTTGGGGAATGGCAGCAATGTTCCGCAGCAGCCATGCTACTTAATCCTCTAATTTGTGTGTGCGTGTGTATTGGTGGTGCTGTTGTTGTTGTTGTTGTTGTTGCTGCTGTTATTGGTGTTATTGTTGTTGCCATAGCCTGCCTGTTTGGCTGGCGAGCTGGCTGGCTGGCTGCTTGCTGGCTTCATTTGTATGCAAAAATGTAAACCAAAAAATCAGCGAGAATGTTAAATCCAACAAAATGCATTTAACACATAAAAATTTGCATAGAAAGTGGCTTTGGTATGTTTGGTATTTTCTCTGCTACTGCTGTTACCTCACACACACACACACAGGCACACACACACACACTCAAACGCAACAGAGGACTCGCAAGCCGAATCACAAGACAATGTAAGCGTGACGCTCTTCACAAATGATGGCTTGTTGCCGTTTATTTTATTTTTATTTCACTTTTTCTTTTATTATTATTATTGTTATTTACTTTATGTGGCTGCAGAGACACACACACATAAGAACCACCCACTGATGAATCATGCCACCGCCTCCGCTAATGTGCCACTTAATTCGCTTCAAACACACTTTTAAAACACATGAAGGGAACTTTACGATCTAGAACCATTGAGCCTAAGCCGCCACTTTTAATGAAGAACCGCTCTCTGCGCTTCTCATAAATAGCATGCAGCCTCCATTCAAATTTAATTATAGACATTCCCGGGACTTGCTAGAAACTGCATAAAAATTGACCACATCTTTCAACAGCTTACAGAAATCATGTCTGGAATAAGGTACCTTTTTGCAGGCCGAGTAGTGACGTTCCCTAAACGCTTAATCGACGCTAGAAAGAAGTGTCGACTATGGAAGGAATCGCGCAACCAAGAGAGCCACTTGCCGTAGAGAACCTACTCCACAATATTTTAACTCCTATTTAACGAATATTAAAAAGGAATTTGTGCCTTCAATTGCACAAAGATGTTAATAGCGACAAGCTAGTGAAATTTTAACTAAAAAAGAAATCAATTTTAATGTTTCAAATAACTTTCTTCTTTGCTGCAAAAAAAGAAGAGTTGAAAAAAGAAAAAATTTTAAGAATATATATTTTGAAAAACATTAAGATAATTTCAAAATTAATTTAATAAAATAAAAAATATTCAATACATTTGTACATAAGCCAAGCCAACTTATTCAAAATATCAGTATTCAACAATACTGAACTCTTATAGAGTATCCTCTGGAACTCTTACTCCGAAGTAAAGACTATTTCATAGACTTCTTTACTCTTAGCCAGATATATTAAGCTTAAAAAAGGGCAGGCAGGGTTCATACCGCACTTATAAAGGTAAAACCTTCCATTCTTTTTCATTTTTAATAATTCTTCCTAAATTTTATTTATAATAATAATAATTATAGGAACAATAATTACTATCACATCTAATTCATGATTAGGAGCTTGAATAGGACTTGAAATTAATTAATTATCTTTTATCCCCCTACTAAGAGAAAATAATAATATAATATCAACTGAATCCTCATTAAAGTATTTTCTAACTCAAGCTTTAGCATCTGCTGTACTTTTGTTCTCGGTGATTTTGATAATATTCAAAAATAATATCAATATTGAACTAAATTCTTCATTTAATTCAATAATAATCTTCTCTTTTACTAAAGAGTGGAGCAGCCCCCTTTCATTTTCGATTCACAAATTTAATAGAAGGGTTATCTTGAATAAATGCTCTAATCTCAATAACTAGATAATTGGGTCTTTTAATTAATTAATTTATAAATTTAGTATCCGCTTTTTTTCTCTGTTTTGACTAATTTATTGCAACCTTTTGGCTCCTAAGTAGTCCCTAGATAATTGGCTCTAGTTAACAGTTTATTTTAAGTCGAAACAAGCTAAAATTCTATATATTATTTTTGCAAGCCAAAATTTAGGAACTAAAATGAAAACCAATTGATGATAAGGCCTGAAATAAGTTAATACAAGTATGTCTTGTATTTGTCAAAGAAGGCTTTACCTTAAGTTAAAAAGCAAAACAAAGTATAAGCGAAATAAATCAAGGACTCGTTTACTCCTTTCTGCAATTAAGGGGGAATAGCAAAGGTGAAGTTGAAATATTAACATCATTGAAACCAAATTGAAAGCAGAATGTTTATAATTAAAAATGAATGGTGTTGCATTTTAACTAAAAATTAAATGATTTCGCTTCAGTTAATTTGTCAGCACGACTTCTGCGCTTCTGATGCGCGAGATTTTAAGCAGTTAACTCTTAATTGCATATTTTCTATATATATGGTATAAATGTGATCTTGTGTATCATAGAATGTTTACCAAGATATATGATATAGTTTAAAATAGGAATATAATGTAAAATGATGATGGCGAATATTAGCATATGCAGCTAATGCACTCTGGTTCGACGGCTGACTTCTCTGACGGCTTCTCTCTGCTTCTTCTTCTGACTGCTGACTTCTGCTTCTTTCTTTACGGCTGACGACTGTGTTTGTAGTGCGGCTGACAACTTACTACTGACAACTAAGTACCTTTCTACTGACTGCTTAAAACCAAAATGAGTACCGAGTACTGATGGCGATGCTCCTTCTAGGTGTTCCGCCATTCTCACTATCCTGCCTTCCCATCTCACATAAATACTATATATGTATATATTTTTAATCTGGTCAGTCGCCCCTGCTTTCCTCATGCCTCGCCAGGCACTCATTCCAGTTCCCGTGCGCGTTATGGTCCGAGTTCTTGAGTCTTGCAGCGTCCTCAAGGAACACAGCACACGCTGTAGTTCTTGCAAAAACTAGTTTGTTCTTTCATTTTATTTATTTTTTTTGTTATTATGTTTCGTTTTTGTTTCTTGGTTGTTTGATTTCCACTAACCCCGACCCCGACCCCGACCCCAATGACAACTCCAACTCAAACGCACATACCCCGCCCAGTCGGGCCACGCCATTACGAATCGTTCCGCTCGCGCCCACGCGCAGTCAACTTTTTGTGAGTGTCTGAGTGTGTGAGTATGTGTGTGTGTGTGTGTGTGTGTGTGTATGGGTGTGTGTTGTTTTTGCATGTGTTGAGATTCTCATGAAATTTGCATACAAATTGCGTCTGGCACTGGGCGTGCATTGTACACTGCAGAGGGTCGCGCCAACTTTGGGGATACAACCAACCATACAACTAAAGCTCACATATCTTTATACGCGCCAGAGTTGTGTCAATCGTTCAGTTGAACTAGATGTTGCTAGGATTATCTTCTTCTTCTTCTTCTTCTTCAGAGGAATTGGTTGTTCATCACAGAACTTTCTCATACATTTTCCTTTGAATTTCTCTCAGCAAGAGGTGAGGAAGATCGTATTTAAAGGGAGATTTTATTCAAATTGTCGATTTTTTTTTCAGTTCTAGTTAAAAGCAAATGGAATCGAAATTCATTATAAACATT